GTCTGCTCCTCAGAACTGATTTAAGCTGTATTTTGCTTCATCCATGTTAACGTGTATTTTTTTTTTTGATGAAAATATTGTATGATAAAAATATTCTTGCTTTTTTGTCCTTTTTTCTTCCAGTCCATGAGCTATGTGCTAAAGAGCTATGTGCTAAAGATGAGGGGCTTTCCGCTCGCCTTGCTATCCCGATTAACGCTTTTTCTATCTTCTCAGTCAATGAAACGGATGCGAGAGAGCTAAAAGCAGATTTCTTCACAGGAAAGCTGATTAGCAACGGCGCCGCACCTTCCTCGCTCATGCATTTTTGCATGGATAATGAAATATTAAGTTTTAGCTTTAAGACAGGGATTGTTGAAATGGTGCCGTATCAGCCTTCTTTTTAGAAGGCAAAGAAGTCTGAATCTCAATTGCCAGTTAAAAAAAAAATGATTTTTCGGTCGTAATTAAGTTCTTCACTTACCAGCGGAAAATCGTGCACCTTTTGCTACTCCCTAACTGGGGCGTTGACGAGGCATAAGCGCTTAAATCAAAAGATTTGTGCCAATGTAAAAGAATCCACGTCTTTGGGTTTCAGAATTTGCATGTTAGATGCTTCATGTTTGTTAAGAATTTTGAGAATAATTTCATTACCTTTATTTATTGCTGACGATTTTGTCATTAAAGCGCTTAAAAAAAATTTTTTTTCCCATCTTCGCAATGTAATCCCCTTTTCGGTTTTTGCATAAAAAGGCTTGTTTCCTCATAACAATCCTGGCTGAGCAGGAGGGGACGGGGGTGGAAATTAGGTACTGAAGTAATCGGTAAATGGCAATTAGTTAGGTGGGCTCAAAAAATTCGTCAAAAACGAAAATTTTCGACGGTATTTACAATTACTGCGCATAACCAAATTAATTAGACGCATATAATGTTTACAATTATACGCTTAACCGCCATGAATGAATAATAGTCATCCGGGCATGCATTCGAAATTTTACATTCTCGCCAGCATTATTATTATTATCATTATTATCACTACTATTATTGCTATTATTTTTGTTATTATTATTACTACTGCTATCATTACTATTATTATTTCCGTCCTTACTCTGATTAAATTACAAGGAGGATCGACGGTATTGCCACTTAGGAGGACCCCACCCAACCTCAGAATAGCTTTCGTAGTTACAAGTGTAGTCCTCGTCAAAACGGCAACACAGCTTCGGCTGTCTGCAGACAGCCGCAGATGCGCGGCGCCCTTCCTCGTCAACAACAGCGAAAGATGCTGCTGGGGGCGAGCGACCGTCGCGAAATTTGTGGGAAAAAGGTAAAACTTTTACTTCCGACACCGTGAATTGGTTAAACGGTGTTGCATGCAGCAGCAAATCCTGCATATCTGCAAGTTATTTTTGCACTTTGAGCCACATAGGTACCAGGACAATCAGTGTGGATACCAGGATCGACTTCGACAAACCGCTTCAGCGACTTATGTTTTGTAAATAACACTATGAATATCAAGACAACCCAGACAATAAGTCTGAGCTTCTCATGTTTTATTTATATTAACAATACTAGGGCCACCCGGACAATCAGTGAGTGTGTGCTTATGTGGGTATCATGAGAGGGTACCAATTGGGGGTAAGCAGCTCAGGATCAAAGGGCCTAACACAGCTGAGCCTAGCGTGTTGGAGCATTCCAGTAACATCATTAACGTGGAATACGATAATGATTATGGTCGGGAGGGGGGAGGGGGGGAGGGGGTCTTGGTATTTTTGGTAATACTAAGTACCGCTTAGACCACCCGGCCAATCGCTGTGGGTATCTAGTGTTTTGTATGTAAATTTAACTTCAACACCATCCAGTCCTTCGCTCCTGAAAACTACTCTGCAACTATTATTATTAGCATTATCATTATTATTGTTATCATGGTAGCGAGAAAGAAAACAACTCAGGCGGCCCCCGAAGAAGAAGCGACCAAACACAGACTGAACAGATGATGGATACCAACTGGAGGTATGCAATTTAAGACTAAAATGCCTAACATAGCTCAGCCTGCGTGTGGGAGCATTCTAGTAATATCATTAACATGGAATAATATACTGATTTTAGCCTGGTGGCCTTTTTATTCTTGGTAATACTAAAACCGCTTAGACCACCTGGGCAATAACTCTCTAATAGTAATGAATAAGTGTTGCACCTATCAGTCTAAATGGAGTTTTGAATGGGCGCTCAGATCAACAAAAAGTGGAGTGTGACGATGTGAAAGAATTCAAGTCCTTACTTCCCTCAGAAAAAATTCTGGCTGTAGGGTGCCATGGGGGAGAGGGTGGAAGGGGATGAAAATTAGGTCCTGGATTAATCGACAAGTGGCAGTTAGTCGAGTGAGCTCAGGAAACTCATTAAAAACGTTTCCGATGAAGCTTCCAATTACTCTTCGTAACTCAAATGTACTAGACACTTAATTACGACGAATAATAATAATAAATAATCAATAACCTGGGCATGCATTCGAAAATTTACATGCTCACGCCACTCGTTCGTGTCTTGCAAATGCTCCAAATTTATCACAACCAATAAATTGGGGTCTCGTTCAAAGATCGTTTCAAAAACGCGTTTGCCAAGTTCAAACACTAGACCACGTGGTAACTGACGCCATGTTGTCGACAACAGCGCCTTCTGATGTGTGCTCAAACCAGTTGTTTCACAGATGTTTGATTTTCGTCGACCACCGTTCATATACCTAAAACGTACTCATTCTCCTTGTCACGGTTTAAAAAGCCAAATTCAGGAGTGCACTTTTGCGTGGTAATCGATGAAGTGACGAAATATCAACGTGATTACCAGCTGGAAAGATAAAACCTATTATTAGATGGTTAAATTTTGCTCCCTGCTTTATCGGGATAATTGATGGTGGTATAAGCGATATTCCTGAAAGATGCAACCTTTCCCTTGTTAACGCCCAGATGAGAGCGATCTCGGGAAGTTGCTCGCCGTTTTCCTAAGTTCTGCACCGATATTTCATTTTGCACTAGCACATGAAAATTGATGAAGAGATCAGTATTTAAATAATAGTTTAAAATATGGCCTTGGTTGTCCAGTGGTCCCACGAAATGATTTGCTGCGATTTTTGTTGACTGTTACAATCGCTGGTTCCGCTTCTTCCTCCCTGCGAAAACTCGACAATTTACGCGAGCTAAAACAAAATCAATTTTACAAATTTGATTTTTGTAACTTCTTTATTTCACCTGTGCAAATTAAATTGTCTCCTAATTGGAAAGGGGAAAATTTCAAAATTGTTTGTACATCAAAGGCAAATCCGAAGATAGCGCAAACAGGCGTGGACAACTGGTTTGCCCGAAAAGCGAATATACGCTATAATTTCCAAAATTGGGAAGAGCGCCCATTCAGGCCTGACAGCTCGAAATACGATCTCTTTTAAGGTGCTGGACCGGAAGAACCAAGCCATACCCTTTTATACTGCCGTGGAAAAAGCAATGCCAAGCAAATACGAGGGTCACAGTTAGAAACATAAGTACCGGTGTTATCTGCAAAGCGATGGAGCGAGGGATGCTTCAAGAATCTCTTCCTGACTGACCACACGATTAAAAGTATCAAAACGCCGGCACTATAAAGGATAGTGGTGACTGTGAAGAAAATTATACTGGACAAAACATGTTACTTGTATAGCTAACAGTTAAGGAACATGGAGTGGTACCCAAAAAAAGCAAACAACGATCAGACGGGCTAACAGAGGAAGCAATACTGGACAACAAGTGACCAGCAGGGCTGCGTACGTGGCGAGTTAAACGTAGACAGTTTGGATATTACTGTTACCGTTGTTCTGACACCTACCTTTTGTTGCTTCTTGAGCTTTTTTTTTAGCTTCGCACAGTGTTTAAAATTTTAGATAGTGCAGAAAACTAGTGAATTTTCACTTTTTGCGCAGCACTTACGCAGATGCAACATCCCGCACTTCACTATCCAGAGATGCAAGTGCGAGTCGCAAAATCGAATGGTGGATGGGAAAATCATAGCTAGACGAATGCCTTTCGCCTCCCCTCAGCTAACCGACGGTAAAACAGACAGCTAATTCGCCATTACTAAATCGCCTTGCTTATACTTAACATTGCTAAATAATGCATATCCATCCTAAGCTGAATGCTACTTCGGCATGGCTCAGTTTGCTCGATTTCTATGAAACAATTTTTTGGCTCTTACAGCTTCTCAAAATTGCGCCTCTGATGCACAGATTCTAGTGAAAAATCGAAAAAAAAAA